CAGTTTTTATCTTACTCCGAATTACTTGTTATGTATTTACTTTTGTATATTTGTGTTATTGTAGTCGCATTTATACGCATTTTAGGTTGATCAACTTATACACTTTTTAATTAACCTGTATCTGTGGATTTAAAAATTATTAAGATGTCACCTCTATTGTCGAAACATTTTATTTAACTAAAAATATTGCAAATGTTAAGAGTTCATCTGTTTCACTTAATTAAAAAATGTCAATGGCGTATCATTTTATCTGACTAATATAATCGTTTATTTCATTTCCAATTTTCGAGGTGTCACATTCTACCCTCCTTAAAAGATGTTTCGCCTCGAAGCATCAACTCTAATAATCCAATTTTAACGATATAAAATTACCAAGTGTTACAACAGTGGCTGCCACCTTCTTACCCGCCGGAGTACATCTCAGTTCGATTTGATGCTCAGCCCTAGCAACCCAACCGATCGGGTCTTCTCCGTCAAACGAGGGCAGCGTCGTGAGAGAAGTGTTGCACAGTCCAGTTCCGAATGTGGACGTTGCTGCCGCGTCAAGTGAAGCCATCGCCGATGAATTCTCCTCCGCCGCTGGCGGCACGAGAGTCTTTGTGAGCGCAGTCAAGGAGGAAGTGACGCTGCGCGGCTGTTCGTCACTGCTGGGCGCAAATACGGTGGGGCTGCCAACCGCGTCAGGGCTTGTTTCCGTTGTGATTGGCGGAACGAACGCCTTGGTGAGCACTGCCAGGGATGCGGCAATCTCTGCCAGACGCATGCCGTGCTCCTCTAGGGTTTGATTCTTCCAAATTTGCTTGGCCACCATCTCTGACAAATGTTCAGTGATAGATCTCGTCATTCCGGCGAGACAGGATCCGGCAGGTTGGACCAATTGATAATAACGGAAAAATAAAATCAACGGGGTGAACCATTGTCCAGATAATCAACGATAAATAAATACCGTTGCCCAGAGCCAAAAGGCTAAACCACTTTTATTCCAAGATTATTAAGAATGAATCCTAACAAGGGGTTTAAATACGCATCTACTAATTCTCAAACTAGGAAACAGAATCCTAGAAATCCTTATCAACTCTAACTAGGAAACAGAATAATAGAGATCCTAATCAACTTAAAAAAGGAAACAAATAATAGAAATACTAATTAACTCCTAATAGGAAACAAATAATAGAAATCCTAATTAACTCCAAATAGGAAACAAATCAGGAAAATAAAAAATAATAAATATTAATTAAGCAGCCCGCAACCAGCCCACAAAGGTGGGCTCAAGCCCGTCCCGCCTTCGGTAAACCCACGGGGGCTTCTGCCCCTCTTCTTCCAAGCCCAGATTCTGCTTCATATCAAAACAAGAGAAGCTAAAATCTTGCAGAGGCCAGGAAAGAACATAAGTGATAATTACATGCATAACTAAGGAGTTGTAAAAGTTGATCCAGAAAGCTATCTGTGCATTAGTTTCCATCTGAGATATGTTCACCCTTTCAAGTTGCTCCACCATAGTCTGAATATAATGTTCAAAGGTTAAGGTGAAGTGTTATCCTTGATTGATGATGAACAAAAAATGTGAATTTGAGATGAGTGGTAAAAGAGTATATAGTTGAGCTATATTAAATTTTATTTATATTTCATGGATGATATATTTATATGTAACTTTGCTCTTAATTATATATTTTATCTGCAGGAAGCCAGGAAGGAGAAAAAAAGTAGGGGGGCATACGAAAAACATTGCTTTACAAATTACAATCAATATGTTAATTCTGGATACTCATTCAAACATTTCTTAATTAAATATTGTGATTAATAAACACTGAAACCAATAGATGTTTAAAATATAAAATATTGTAATCAAATTTGAATTTCCTTTGTATTTTGCTGGGTAAGACTAAACATGAGAAAACAAACCCGTTTTGCTTATCATTTTTTCTTTCGCTGCAATTTTCTTAGTTTCAACCAAGAAGCATTTTGAGAACAAAATATTTCTAGTGGTAAGGAACACGAAATTTAGTGGACATGAAATTTTTTAGCCTACCTTTTCCTTATGGTTGCATATTTCTCACTTACTAAGCTCTTGCCATCTTTAAGAAACAAGTCATAATTAGCGTTAAAATCAGAAGAGTGACTACTTTCATCAAGAATGAGAATAGACATTGTGACATTGGGCTGGTTCTTTGTGTTTGTTTATCATAAATTAGCATCTATCATTCAAAAGTCAAAACAGACATGGAAGATAAACAAATACATACATTTTGCCGTAAAGGGTTTAATTAAGAGCTGTTGTTTTTTCTATTTCCTTCAATTTCTTCTTTCAAAAGCATATGCAGTAGAGTGGAATCTGGTCCTTCTTGCAGCATTGTCTCAAGTATAATCTCACAGGTTCTATTGACGGCTGAGAATCCAAGTCTTAACATCTCCTCCAAAAGCAATATTGCTTCAACACGCTCATTCTTTTTCAATAACCCACGTATCAGTATATTTTATGACAAGCTATCACCATGTACCCATTTTTCTCCATTTGCTTGAACATATCTTTTGCATCTTCTAGCAAGCCTTCTCGGCAAAGACCACTTATCATACTCAAGTAAGTTATCTTATCTGGCTGCAGCCCTTTAGAAGGAATGACATTGAATAGTTCTATTGTGCTCCATGGCCTTCCATCCATGAATAGTCCATTAATGACACTATTATAGAAGACTACGTCAAGGACAAAACTCTTAGCTTTCATCATCCTTAGTAAAGAAAGCGCTTGAGGAACATGATCGTTCTTGCATAATCCATCCAAAATAATGTTGTACGTGAAGAGATTTGGATTTTCTCCATTTGCCATCATCTCTTTCAAAAGCTTCTCAGCATCACCACATTTCCCTGCCTTAAATAAACAGTCCAGCATTATGCTATAGCTAATAAATGTGGGCTTTAAGCCGGCCAACTAAAAAGTTTTTATTTGGTTTTTGCAACTTTTGGAACCCCATGTCTTAAAAATTGCCTCTCTATCTTTGTCAAGTATCTTGTGTTTGATGACATCACTGTATCATTAAAATGTTAACATCATTATAGAACATATATTATAATAGATTAGAAGTACATAGCAGAGGTGGCCATGTAAAGCAACCTTCTCCAACCACCATTGGCTGTCTGTGATCACTATTTTATCGTTATTCAAAAGTTCTCTTGCAGAAAATGTTTAAAAGGCAACGGATTCAAGATGAGAGGCCACCTTTTATTGTCCGCTCTTGCACGTCCGGTGCAAACATTGTCTTCACAACATTTGCAAAAAACAATGTAGTACTGAGATTAACAAACTTTTGATGCATTTTTTTACCTAATATTTTAAAATAGACTAGAATAAATGATAAGAAAGATTTGCTTTTGTAGTTTTTGTTACTATTCAATCAATTAAGGGGGAACTTTAAAAAATATTAATTATCATCTATAAATTAATAATAATACATACTCCATTCGTCCCTAAATAAAATCTTTCATTCCTTTTCGGGTTGTCCCTAAATAAAGGTCTCATTTCCTTTGTTGGTAAACAAAACAGTGCAAAACAGTGTTCAAACAATGTCAAACAATCTCACTTTCTTAAAATGTGTGTAAACGAGTAAGGACCTTTATATAGGAACGAAGGGAGTACTTTATTATATAAAAAATATACATACTTTCAAAATGAATTCTAATAATACCAACTACTTGAATATAGAACCAAAAGTAATATAGAGTCACTTTTGTACAAAAAATATACATACTTTCAAATCATTACATCATTTTTAATTTAGATTTAAATAATTCAACGACATCACTATGATTGGTCCATTGGAAAAAGATATGATACGGTAAAATCTTAAGGGTACCTTAAGGGTACCACAAAATCTACCTTTTTTAAATTACAACGTCAGGAATTTTGAGCCATTAAACCCTGCACATATAACATTCAAATTACCTATGATGTCAAAAACGAACCGAGAGGTGACCCGGTCAAATATTATTTAAAAATAACAAATATATAAAATATATTAAATTAAAGGTGTATAGTGAAAAATCACTCTCATTCAAAATTTAATAATGGTTATCAAATTAAATTAAAACTAATATGTTAGTATTTCAAACAAAATTCATAAATTCAAGTTCTGTTTGGTATTAGATGGATAATCATTGAAAACCGTATTTATATATAAAAAAGTTATAAGTATGATTGATAAATGTAATAGATATTTATATAAAAAAAAAGTTATAAGTATGAAGCTTCTTGTCAACGTTCTCTAGATATCGTCTGGGAATGCACGCCTCCCTTGCATATCTCTCAAGTGTGTTGGGCAAGTGAGCAAGTCTACTTTTTTACTTTTTCACGACATTCGCTAGGAGAAATTCCCTTTTTGCGGTTTCTAACTCTTCTTTTATTTTTGATGATGTGTATGCTTTTAGTTACACTGTAGAGAACATACAAAGAAACCCACGTTATGAACAATTGAACATAATGTCAACCATGTAAACACGTTACTTGATGTTAGATTTTACGATATCAGTTTTGCAATCGGACATGACCATCTGATTGTCTTCAGATAGACTCATTGTTGAACTCATTTTTCACGCAGATAGAAATCTAACTAAAAACCAATAATGATGATTGTTTTGAACTTTCTTCTCATCATTTCCTCTTTTAAAGGTAATGACGAGAAAGTCATTTAATGTACAACTTTGCCACAACGTTTGTTGGCATGAGTTTATCTTAAATAAACAATGAAGTGACACTATAAATTAAAACTCATGTCACCAACCCCACCATAGTTGGGATTAAGGTTTTAATGATTTTAGGAATTGAAAAAGTGAGATGATGATCTAAAACCATCATCATGATATGTTATTCCTACTTGCACTGATAATACCATGAGATGGAGATGAGTTGGGATAGTTGTTATTGTCATGATCCATTACAAGATTGATATGTGGTAAAATCAACCTGTAAATCATGGAGCATAGTAAATAGCTTTGTATCATTGAAAGGCGGGGAATCAATCGGCTTCTTGATTCTATCATAAAAGCCCCCCGGGTGCAACAAGATGTCTATTAGTTGTTAAAGAACACTGCCAAAACAAGAGGGTATGTTGTTGGTACATATGGGAAATATGCATATTTTTATCACTATTCACTCTCATAAACTTTCTGCATGACAGATATAAACGAATTATCTGTCTTCCTATCCGTGGAGTCCTCAAGCAAAAGATTGACTGTTCAATGGCATTTGCACTAACGACATGCCCAGCAACGTTGTATGCAGCCTGCACTATACAGATTAATAAATGGTTATTTTAAATAAATACATCCATTTTAAGGTTTAGGCCATCTTTTGAATAGTAATAGTTTAACTTTCAATACCTTGTGAGACAAGGCCAGCCTTCTAAGAAAGTTTTATGGTATGCCATATGCTAGAAACGCCAGGTGAATAAATAGGTAATAATTAATCATTTACATGCATAACCAAGGAGTTGTATAAGTTGATCCAGAAAACCATCTGTGCATTAGTTTCCATCTGAGATATGTTCACCCTTTCAAGTTGCTCCACCATATATACACCCTTTCAAGTTGCTCCACCATAAGTCTGGATATAATGTTCAAAGGTAAAGGTGAAGTGTTATCCTTGATTGATGATGAACAAAAAAATACTACGTATGTGAATTTGAATTACGAGTGTCTAAAGAGTATAAAGTTGGTGATGTTAACGTTTGCTCTGTATTATATATTTTGTCCGCAGGAAACCAGGAACCATTTATACCTGTACGTTTTAATTGCATAAAATGCACGTGAGACGTTACTTTTATCACACGATATCCTTGAAATTACAATTGTAGATTTGCAGCTGAACCGGTCTTTCTCCAGCTCATTAGTAACATCATGCCCAGGAATTTTGACATTTGATGATAAAGCTGATTTATTTTCTCCCCCAGATTAACAGTGATAGTAGTCTTCTGTAGCCAGCAATACACTACTGACATGCACCTTACCATTCCACTGATAACTTACATGGACACCGGTGGAGATGATCTTTCAGAGAATTTGCCATTGAAGCTTTTTGTACTGGTAGACCCTATCCTTGATCCTATCATATAATTCTTTTTTACTTAAGAAACTTCAATAAAAATGAATAGTTACATATAACCGTTATGACCACACAAGTCGAAATTTAGTAGTACTACGTATGATATTGTCCACTTTCTGCCAAGCCAAATTAATTTGTTTTGGGGCTCCTTCTAAATGCCATAGTTTATTCAATATAATTCATTATTTTTCTGATGTGACTTTGGGTTACAGGTTACACCCCCACAATAATAGTATGAGATGCTGTCACTCATATCATTTAATTATTTAAGTAGTTATTTAAAATTTAATTAATGAAGATGCTGTCACTCATATGCACCGGTGTGGTTTGCATACCTGAGCAGAAAAATGCTATGTTGTAAAAACCGGACCGGAAGGCGACCCAGGCAATCGACTGGGTCACAGGTCAACCCGGACCCGGGAGGGTCAGCCCGGTCAACGCCGGGTTAACCGGTCAACATTTATTGAGAAATAAAATATACTAGTATAATATATCCAATTATATATTAGATTAAAGTTGTATGGTAAAAACTTTTAAAAAAATTGTATGGTGAAAAATTACTCTAATTCGAAATTTACTATTGATTATAATATTAAATAAAAAATTATGAACCAATATATTAAAAATTTCACAAAATTAAATATGTGTTTCCAATTATATGGAAAATAATCAAAATATTGAGATATAATATTTATATAAACAATTACGAGTATAATTGATAGATTTACACATAAATACGTATAGTTTAATCTATGTACGTTGTAAACTAATAGCAATAGCAATTAAAATTGGTTATTAGTATGATTGTGTAAATCTGCTAAGTACTTATAGTATAGAGTCGTGAAAAGCAACGTTGTACTCAACCGAGAAATAGTCCAGTTGGTTCGGCGTGCGTTTCGGTTACTAGAGATGGGTGTTCAAACCCCCCCGTGATACTCATTTTAATGAATAAATGATTTGAAGAAATGAACTGTCCGGTTTTCCCAAATTTGCGGCAGTCCGGGTCCGGTCCACTAGTTAAATCTGATTTCGTTCATGTTAGCAGGTCTGTGCTTAACCGGACCGGATCTCTGGCCGGGACCGGTTTCCGGGTCGAACCGGCCGGTCCGGTCCGGTTCTTACAACACAGGAAAAATGGCGATGGCCAGGGGAAAGTAGGCTAGAAGTTCTTCTGATTGTCTTCTCAAACAACATCCACATTAATCTTTCTTGCTGCAACTGCAATTGCAAATCTTCAATCTGACAATAAGTATCACCTAAGTTAAGAAGAAGTTGAAATTACTATACTAATCAATGAGGACATATAGATTATAGAACAGACATTGCAACTATATAAAAGAGTGGTCTAACTTACATCTTTTTCCAATGAAGCGCGGTTGTTAGGAATGATGTTCATTGTTTTTTTGAAGCTTTCATGAAGCGGGCTTGCCCTGCAGCTCCTTGTCGGTGGTGGCAATCCCTGAAGAAATATTGCTCATAGGGTTTATTAGATTTTCATACCAAAACTCATTAAAGTGTGGAGAAATGATGGATCAATGTAAACAACTTTATACATGTGTCTCTCTAATGTCATCCTTTTGCGATCGCCTCCTATCATAAGAGTCTTCTCTGAGGCACTGCAATGGCAAAATACAAAAACACACTTCTTCAGAAAGTCTAATGCGTCCCCACAACCAAATGGAGCTAAAATTAAGCTCATGTCTCTTTCATTATCTACACGAGATTATGAAATATTAGTTTTTCACATTTTAAAGTTGCAAAATTTTGAAATCAACATTCTTAATAGCAGTCTGATAACTTTGTAATTGTCTACAATATAAGGAAAAGGAAAAGGAAAAATAAAAAAACGGCTGAAGCTCAACCTTCTTGATCTCCTGTGGTGGGAATTACCAGAAGAACAAGTGGCTCTTCCCACACCGTCACCATCCAGAACTAATCCAATCACTACGCTTCTCTCTGGGTCACTCTTTTAAACAACCAACTTTCTCTTTTCATGCATAAAATGAAACTTACCCTCAGAAATTTACATCTACTGCATGCTAGCTACTGGAAGAAACAAATGGAATAGACTATATATGAGAAAACAGACAGATTGTTTAATGACTGAAACAGTGGAAATGAATGAAAGACAAGAATAGCAGCAGCAACTAAAAAACGAGATGTAGATTTGATAAAGATGAAGATATATTGTGAAATAAGGTTCAGTTGAAGTAGTAAATGGAGCAACTGAAAAGCGAAAGAAGTGTTTGGATGAAAGAAGGAGGTGGACCAGGATAGTTGCAAAGGAATTGAATAACTTCAGTTTAGCGTAGCTGAGAGCATTGAATAAAGATTTTAAATTTACTTCACCTTCCCACATAGAGGATTTATATGTGTGTGTTCCTTAACTGCATGGTAATTCTCTTATACCTCTCCCAAGCAATCCAAATCAGACTAGGTGTTATTTTCTTTCATAAATATACTAAGCAAATACATTATGAATAAAAACATGGGAAATTTTAATAAAGTTAGTTCTTAATCATATACTCCCCTTCCAGACTAAAAGTCCAAAACTTACGTAAGATTAAAAAAATAAGATCACATAGTTCGCTCCAATCTATTAGTAAGTTAGTTCCTCACATGATGGGATCATGGGATCATTTGTGAGCTAATATCGAGAGAAATGCTGCTTAAAATAGGTGTGTTAGTTGCACCTCAGGAGTATTAGCATCTTATGTCCCATGCTGGTCCAACAGTAAGTGAAACATGAATGGGAATTACATCAAATAAAAATGTATAAGAAGAAACAAATGATACAGTTAGAGTCCGAACATAATCCAATCAGTTTAACATTCTTTTTCCTGTGACATGAAACACACAAACACGCACACAAGGATCCATTTTTGTGATTTAAATACAATCATTACAACAATCCTTGGGTCCGTTTAGAACCTGGAAAAAGCTAAAGGAAAAAATGGGGATGAAAACATACAGGAAAGTTGGAAGGGGAAAAAAAGTAGGGGGGAATATAAAAAACATTGCTTTACAAATTACAATCAATTTGTTAATTCTGGATACTTATTCAAACATTTCTTAATTAAATATTGTTATAAAAACACTAAAATCGATAGATGTTTAAAATTTAAAATTATTGTGATAAAATTTGAATTTCCTTTGTATTTTGCTGGGTAAGACCGAACATGAGAAAACAAACCCGTTTTTCTTATCATTTTTTCTTTCCCTAAGATTCAACCATGCAGCATTTTGAGAACAAAATATTTCTAGGGTAAAGAACACGGAATTAAGTTGACATGCAATTTTTTAGCCTACCTTTTCCTTATGGATACATATCTCTCATTTGCACATGTTGACTTGAACACATTTATAACTTTTGAGCAAAAAGCTTCTGGCATCTTTAAGAAACAAGTCATAATCAGAAGAGTGACTACTTTCATCAAGAATGAGAATACACACTGAGTTCTGGTTCTTTGTGTTTGTTTATCATAAATTAGCATCTATCAATCTATCATTCAGACAGACATGAAAGATAAACCAATACATACATTTCACGGTAACCATTTTAAGAGCGGATTTTTTCCCTATTTCCTTCAATTTCTTTTTTCAAAAGCATATGAAGTAGAGTGGAATCTGGTCCTTCTTGCAGAATTGTCTCAAGTACAATCTCAGAGGTTCTATTGTCGGCTGAGAATCCAACTCTTAACATCTCCTCCAAGAGCAATATTGCTTCAAGATGCTCGTTCTTTTTCAATAACCCACGTATGAGTATATTGTATATCACGCTATCAGCCATGTGCCCATTTTTCTCCATTTTCATGAACATATCTTTTGCATCTTCTAGCAAACCTTCTCGGCAAAGACCACTTATCATACTCAAGTAAGTTATCTTATTTGGCTGCAGCCCTTTAGAAGGAATGACATTGAATATTTGATATTTCTATTGCGCTCCATGGCCTTCCATCTATGAATAGTCCATTAATGAGAGTAGTATAGGAGACTACGTCAAGGACAAAACTCTTAGCTTCCATCATCCTTAGTAAAGAAAGCGCTTGTGAAACACGACCGTTCTTGCAGAATCCATCCAAAACAATGTTGTAGATGATGAGATTTGGATGCTCTCGATTTGCCACCATCTCTTTAAAGAGCTTCTCAGCATCACCACATCTCCCTGCCTTAAATAAACAGTCCAGCATTATGCTGTAGCTAATAAGTGTGGGCTTTAAGCCTTGACTCGGTATTTTATCAAATAGCTGTATGGCTTTATCTGAACACCCATTCTTGCTATATCCATTTATTAAAATATTATATGTGCGAATATCAGGGTCACATCCCCTATCTATCATGATCTCTAAAATTTGCAATGCACTGTCCATTTTTTCTTGTGCGCAATATCCATCCATCAAAGCATTGTAAGTGATTCTGTTAGGATCAACACCTTCTTGAATCATTCTATTCATGATTTTTTCAGCACCGCCGATCCATCCTTCACTGCAAAACCCATTCACTAGAATGGTGTATGTCTGAACACTCAAAGAAACTCTGTAATCCGTCATTCTTTTCAGTAACTGTTTGACATCTTCCCATCGACTGAATTTGCATAGCCCATCAATTAGCGAATTATAGGTCACGACAACAGGAGGAATGCCCTTTTCCATCATCTTCTCAAACAAGCCTAGCGCATCGTCCACCATTTTATCCTTACACAACGAGTCAATAACGGTGTTATATGCAGAAATATCTGGCTTGCAGCTTCCCTTTTTCGTCAAATAAGTGAAGCAGCTTACTAGCCTTAACAGTGTGCCCTGCCTTGCAGAGGCCATCGATCAGTATTAATAGTGTGACTTGATTTACCTCACACACTTTCTCATGCAATACCTTCTGGAACAACCAAACAGCATCTTGAACCCTATGTTGCAGAAAAAGCCCTTTTAGTAAAGTGGTGAACAAAACCACATCAGCCACTAGACCCAGCTTGAAATGGATTCCTAAAATAGCAAAAATTAAATCTACTCTATGCAAATGGGTGAGGGAATTGGCAGCAATATTCAGTGTAAACTCGTCAATCGTTAGGCCAGAAGCAAACATATCTCGAAATAGAGAGAAAGCGTCGTGGTAACAACCCATCTTGACAACGGCATGCAAGAGGTGGTTGAATTTCACGATGGGAGGATGGGGTCTCATTGCAACCATGTTACAGTACAAAACAATTGCATCGCCGAGCATATTTATACTAGCAATCTTCGATTTACTAAGTTCAAACTTCAAAGTATGAATCTTGAGTTTTACACGCGAAAGCGAGATCATGAAAGCCAGGGAAGTTGAAGGAGTGGGGATGAGGAATGAGGGAATATATGTTACCAGTTGATAATCTATCTCTATATAAAAAGAAGTGGAAAAAGAGGTGAGTTTCCCGCCCAAAAACCCGGGTCAAAAAACGGGTCAGGTTTGGTTACAAGTTACGGTTGAATATAAGGCACGTGAAAGACCGTCAAACAGGTCATTAAATGTTACTTTAGTGGTTTGAGTAATTTTCTATCTATTGTCAAATCGGATAAAAACACTTTAGTCTGCTTTTTAGTACAAAAGCATCAGTACGCATTAGCTGGTACAGGTCAACAGCAGTCCAATGTATCTCACGTATCTTTTCTCAGATTTTGTTACATTGTTCCAAATAATGTAAAGACAAAGATAATCAATAAAAAGTACAATCACCTTTCCATTTACTCCACATTTATTCAACCGATGCATCAGACACAAATAAAAGTACTGTACATATCACATGCGGATTATTACTCCGTATTAACTATAGGATATTAGAATGTTGTGAATCAAACACAACCCACGGCAGTTCTTCCATAAATAAGGACCATTTCATTACTCCATCGGCACACATACTCATCACAAATGGCATGTGATCTCTCATCAACAAAGTGCATCACAGTAGATCTGCTTGGACATTGAAAGTAAAGGTCACACCAACTCAACAAGGAGCATATGTGCTGCCTTCCATTCCAAATGAGGAGAGACGAGAGATTGTGTATCATGATGTCCAGGTAAATCATACGGAGTAAGTAGTAGAACTTTGACATATTTCAAGTGTTTGACTTTCTTTAAAAAACAGATAAAAATGACTTCATGCTTCAACTAGCACCCAAATGTAAGGCAGTTCGTTCAAACACCGGGGGTGGGCTTACATATATATAAATAAGGGAAAGACGATATATTTGAATAAGATTCTATATAATCAATATATGGACCATTCTAGAAACTGCAAATATTTCAGACGAATAAATCAGTGCACAAAATTAATTCTTTTTCATGTATGCTTAATTCAGTTAATTGTAAAGAACGGAGGGAATATCATTCTAATATATCATAGATTTAGTAAAATATAAGTACTAAATAATTTAATGAATTTAAAGAAATATGATTATATATAGTAACATACACATATAAACATGCACGCACATCAGAAAGTTGAGTCATACACACTATTACTTTGGTAAAACAATAGTTATTACAACAGAGTGCTTTAAAAAATTCAGTAGGATGTGTGACATATAATCTTCATATCTCATTTTCAGGAGATACGAGTATGTATCAATCACATATGACATATACGGAGTATGAAACATACTTATTCTTCACCCCATATTTATCATATTTTGAGTATGTAAGTAAAAATGGTTAACTACGTATATTTCACAAGTTGACAGATATTTACAATGGTATGATAAGTATTGTTTTTTAATCAGATTTATATAGTAACCTTTTTAACAAATCTGTTTGTAATTTTACAAAAAAAAGTCAGATTTATTTTCAAAATCTCTGATTTTATTTCAAAATTTTCAAACACATGTGCTATATGTAATAGATACGTAGTACAAATCATATGCAACCAACAACTATTATTTACCAAAAACAAACCATGGTCATATGTACTTTAAAGTTTAAATTCAAATAATACTGAAAATAGAGTTTAGAGTATATACCCATCATTGGTAGCCAAGGTTGGGATGCCACTGGAATACAATGGGCGTATTGCGTATACAAAGAACGGCGGATTTCGTTGGAGAATCCAATTCATTGACCAGTAAGAAGTGAATCAGTTGAAAATCTGAAGAGCCACATGCAATTGTTTACAGAGACCAGAGACCAAAGGATAAACCGACGACTCTGTTGGTAATTTGTAGTGGAGATAGAGCAACTAATTGAGAGAAATAATTCTGCAAGCTGGACTTACATAGGGTCGACGGGGTTGAGGGCGGACAGGGGGACAATTGGAGGTGAAAGTTGAAGGTAGACGAAGAGAGGCGGAGAGCACCATATTCACCGGTGCCTCTCCGCAGTTTCTACGGCGACGACGGATAAAGGTGGGGATCAAGTATTTGGGTCAGATACATTTGGTGTACAATTATTAATTGGTAGATTCTATGGTACCCAAAAGGTACCATACCTTTGTCCACATGGACCAATTAGAATGTAGCAGTTGAATTATTTAAATCTAAATTAAAAGTGATAAAGTGATGTGGTCCAATCAAATGAATGGTAGGTACAGTACCCCATTTTTTAAAAAGGTACCGGAGTTGTCACCACCTTATTAATTATACATTGTACATTGTTTTACTAGGCATTTGCCTATTTGGGTATGAATTAATACTGAGTATAAATGTGAATAATATTGGGTCAGATAGTTTTGGTGTAATTGTACATTGATTATTGGATTGGGTATGCTGGAGAGTGTTAGGGGATTTATTTATTTAAATTGTGTTTTAATATAGAGTAGAATATATTGGTTGTTTTACTAATTACGATTTTTATTATAAATTATATTACATTCATCCCACTGACATTGAGATATGAGAAGATGATATGGTTATTAAGCAAAATAAGTTTATGTGATTGATATTGAATTAATAAAGTAAGAATAAAGTAAAAATAATTTAGATCAACACAAATTTTAGTAAATTTGGTATGAGACAGTTAATGATGTTTTCCAAAAATGAAAAATGAGAGAATTTGAACAAGATGACTTGATGAGGTGAATAATAAAGATTATTATATTACTACGTATTATTTATGTATAATTGTATAAGCGGATGTTTTAATGTTTTATGTATGTGTTCCAAATTTTATGATTATAAAAATAATCTATCGTTCTCTTAATAATATTACATACTACCCTCGTCCCATAATGGTTGTCTACTTTCAATTTGGCACGATTATTAATAAAGTGGTTGAAAAGTAAAAGTTGTGGTTGAGATTTGAGTAAAATAAAGTGAATTGATAAGAACCACATATTTCATCCAAAAAGGGAAACAAGACATTCATTTTGGGACAACCCAAAAAGGAAAGTAGGACAACCAAAATGGGACGGAGGGAGTAAAGGTTTAAATATCATTTTAGTTACTGCAAATATGACACACTTTATCTAAGGTTTTCTAAAATATTTTCTTTCTTTTCCATCTCTCTAATATGTTTTTTTTGTTTTAGTCCATCTCTAACTTTGAAATATTTTACTTCAAATTCCCTTATACTCAAATTCCTATATACTTTATATCAAAAAACCTATAAATACACCCTCTTTCCTTCACAATAAGGGACCAATTCCTATATACTCTTAAGCTCAGTTTAGAATAGCATTTCTATATATTTCTTTTAGCATGTTTAGTCTCCAAATGAGGAGCTAAACTTCCATTTCTTGGTATTGCTCTTGAAGTTTGTTGATTATTAAAGTTGTGAGTTATTTTCTTAACTTCTTTTCCTTGAATATTAATTCTTCCTTTAAATACTATTTCTATATCAATGTTGGGGAGTGTTACTAAGATGACAATTAGTTAACATCTTGACATTGGTCTTAGTAATAGCTATTCCTTCCTCTATGTTAATATCGGGGAGTGTTACTAAGATGACAATTAGTTAACATCTTGATATTAACCATAGTAGGATTCATCTTCTTTAATAATTCTTCCTTGAATATTAATTAATCCCTATTCATATTTCATATTAATATTTTGAACATTACTTAAAGGATCAACTAGTTTTGTTTCACATATTAATTATTACTAGAAACGATCAACGAACCGATGGTTAATCGTTGATAGTTTCACAAGTAAGTAACTTCGGTTTATTAATGCACGGTCGTGGTTAATAAACTTAAGAGGGATTAATTTTGTTGGTTAAACCGAAACCGTTGTGTTGAGGTTATCAATCTCAATTGATTTCATCAAGGAGTTAAAAGATTAAATGCTACTATCAAGTCGGTATATGGCGTTGTTCTATACTTGACTAATAGTAAGGGTTATTAATGAACGGTTGTTGTTAATAACTATCCTCGATGAATTGGATATACTCCTCGATTGAGTATTCGAGAGGAGATAAGTTATAGATATAACAATGATCGACTAAAATATATCAACAAGTGGAAAGTAGCAATATCAAGTCCCTTTTATCTTTGAATTAAACCACATAACTCGTTCATCTTCGTGTTTAATTTTAATCAAATCACTCGATCAAAACCCCCCCTTTATTTACTAGTTACATAAAAAGAAGAGTTATTCCTTTCTCTGTGGATACGAACTCTACTTCACCTATACTACGTATAAGTGTTAGTATTGAATTTATTTTGAGTGCACTCACGACAAAGTGCACGTCAATCTGCCAGATTTAGAATGTTGAAGCATGATAAGAAGCATTTCTGTTAGAGCAGGCTGAAACTCAATTTTTGTATCATGATACTGCGTTGCTGTTATTAGTTTACTCTTGTGTTATGACTATTGATTCATTAATTTATGTTATTGTTTCTGGGTTATTGTCAGTTATTTCATGATTCGGTTTTTTCTGAGTTACGTTATTGTCATCTTATGCATATATTGCTGTCATACTTGAATAATTTGGCACAAATAGAATA